ATCTTCTGTTTCAGCAAATACTACACTATATAAATACTAAAGTTTATATATGAAAGAATATTGTATGTCAGCATCTAAATAAATAGCAAACATATATTTATATCCTTATTATGTATGCATAAAGCGCATAAAAGAGCTTTTATTCCTTCTAGACTAAAAGTTTGGAAGCTTTTATTCCTACTCTTCAACTCTAAGTTAAACCTCATCACTTCATTATTCATTATCTACTCCATATTTTTCACCATTTTGAGCAGTTGCTTTATTAATCATTTTTTTTACAATAGGTTTTATTAATTCATCTTTTTTACAAGAACATCAATCTTAAGGACAAATGTCTTTTTATTATTCCAAGAAGCCAATGTAAAAATTATGATGTAAAGCTCTGTTATTCTCAGTTAACTAAATCTTGTATCTTATATCAGATGTTAGGTTCTAGAGACTTTTGGTTAGTCTTCAACAAAGTCATTAACTAAAGTAAGTCTAACATTTATTCTTATTAATTATATAATATTTTATAATATTTAAACACTTTGACCTCTCCAACTATCCTACGATTAGTCTTCACTCTGTTAATAGTTTCTTTATAGAAAAGTTTTGACATTGTTAAATTATCTTACTAACTGCAGTAATAAAGTTATTTTGACTTTATTGAATTAACTTACAATCTCTTACTAACTGCAGTAATAAAGTTATTCTTGAAGGCCTACACTCTTCTTTATTTTAAGTAACTTAGAGGATACCATAAGGTATCTTGTGGTAACCTTAAATCTTTGCTCCTGTATTGTTTCTTATCTACAATATCAATCTTCATGAAAATTTAATATATTAAGTGGCTCTCAACTCAACTTTATATTATTTAGCTTCAAAGGTTATTAAATATTACTTGACACTCAATTTTAGTTATATTGGTAGAGCATTGGAATTTACAATTTCTGCAACTTTTTAGTGCTACAATATATATATATATATATATATATATATATATATATATATATATATATATATATATATATATATATATATATATATATATATATATATATATATATATATATATATATATATATATATATATACATATATATATATATATATATATATATATTTATATATACATATATATATATATATTTAGTTATTATATATAAGTATAAAGATTAGAGTATAAAGACAAAAGTTGACAACTCAACATTATACTCTTGTCTTGACAAAAAATTTTCACTTTTTGATTACTTAAAAGAAGCAGCGAATTTTTACTCTGATCTATCTTCTGTAACTAAGGCTGTAACTAAGGCTTGCTGTGGCTTAATGATTTAAATTATAGACTTAAAATATGCAATTTTTGTTAGACAACAAAACTCATTTATTTACTGCAAAAAAATATTACAATGTTGGCATTCCTATATTAATGAACAACAACCCTCTTACTCTCAGACAGAGTCTAAAAGTATATCGCAAATGTAATATGGTCATGATGTAATGATTAAGCGCTTGCGTCATAAGCTAGAGGTATCAAGTTCAATCCCCACCAAGTCCCTGGTAGTACTGCGCTCAACATGTTTCTCTGCGCAGTGGCCTTGGTTGTCATGGCTCGCATTTCAGAGTTATATAGTTGAGAGAGAGTTATAACTACAAATAAGTAGCCTCTTTGTCTATAGTAGCATTTTCAGCTTTGAGAAGGTGAATTAACATATAAAAAAAAAAGAATAATAAATTAGACCTGCTTTATCTGCCAAACTTGAGTCACTATCCCATTGTTAAAAGGTTGAATTTCTTTTTTTTTGGTCAGTGCTCAAACAAGCTATCGTCTCTATTACCATAAACCAAAACTCATTTTTGCTTGTTTTTTATTCAACAAGCTGCATCCATTTACTGTATCTGTTCCTTCATATTATAAAAACTTTTTTAATCAAGTTCTTTTTCCTTGTATATCAAAAAAACCTTATAACTACTAGCCATCTTCATGTTTTTCTTTTATACACAACCAAAAACTTTTCAAGCTTTCAGTTAACCATTTCCTAGTATTTTTACTTATTCTCTATTTTAAAATAACTCATAACTTAATAGTGGTTACTTGCAATCTTGTTGGAAATAAATCAGAGTTTGAAAATGCCAGTATTTATGAAATAGTAAGTGTAAGCATAAAATTATAATATATAAAGTATTATAAATTTTTTTCTAGCTTCAGCTATTAACCCCTGCTAAATCTTATAGTTTAGGTTTGAAAAAAGTCTGATTTTTAGCTGGGGCCGAGACCCTGGTCATTTACTAAAAGCAAATAAAATAAAAAACATAAAATTAACATTACTAAAAATGAAATTTAGTAACCTGAGAATCATATATCTTTTCGCATCAATTTCTTGCAATAATATAACGTTTGTTCTTCAGAGGACAGAGTTGTTTTTCAGTGTCGTTCTTGTGTTAGAGGTGAAAAAAATGATTACAATTAGGAAAAAGCAGCTGTTCAAGGAGGGGTAGAGTGATTATAAATAAAGCATGATTTTTGGTAGATTGATATTTTTATTTTTTTATTAATTATGTGCCCCAAGAAGTCCTAACGGTCTTGTCACAGAGCACCACAGAAGTGCATTTAACCAGGAAGTTCATGCCTCCTTCCTTACCGTGACGCAAAATATGTCTAAAGCTCGTTTTGAACCTGGATCTCCTGCTTATAAAGCAAGCGCTCTAACCACTGCGCCACAGCCGCCTATAAAAAATTAATCCAAAGACTATAACGAAGAAAACTAAGAAAAGAATCCTAGTCAGACAAAGTAGTAGTAAGAAGTATGATAAGATGAATCAGATGCAGAAGAAGTAGATCTTACATAGAAGTAACTCTGATGAGAGTTTTAGTGAAATCATAGCACAAACTAAACCACCTGAAGGAGGATGAGAAGGAACTGAGCACAAGCGATGTGAAGCAGTTAAGGTAAATAACTAGTGTTGTCTGAAAAACCAGTCACAAAGTTAGTCTTTATTTTGGTTTGTTTGTAATTACACATTTTTACACATTTTATGACATGGTAGGGATTGAAATAGAAACCTCTCCTTATGAAGCAAGTGCTTTACCACCACACCACTATTGCATAACTCTGAGTTTGCAAGTCTTGATATCTACTAGGTATATATATTAATGCTTGAGAATAATTATATATATATACAACCCTTTGAATTAGGCAAAATGAGGTCGGCAATAATTTACCGACCTTAATCTTTAAGCGGTCGGCATCAGGTTGGCAAAAATTATTCAATACAAAAGGTCTTGCCATAAAATATAAAAACGAGGTCGGCAATTTTTTGCCGACCTCAAACACATTCAGGTCAGCCGTGAGGTCGGCATTGCCGAATGCCGACCCTAATTCCTATATATATATATATATATATATATATATATATATATATATATATATATATATATATATATATATATATATATATATATATATATATTGACATAATTGTAAATATCTTGGGAATTCAGTTGGATATAAATTATGTTGAATTATATAAAGAAAAACATGTGTTTCACGCATAATTAACAACTAGTAAATGAATGGGGTTGATATTTGACCTGGGCTGAGGCTGGGTTTAATAAAATATAGCCGGGGCCGGGTTTGTGACTGGGGCTGCATAAACATTTATACATCATAAAGTACTTTTTTTTTTCTTCAAAATTTATGTTTGATATTGTATATATGTGTTGATAAACGTCATTATGATCAACATGATCATCATCATGATCATCATCATAACCATCATTATCATGATCATCGTCATCATAATTGTCATCATCATTATTATTATTAATATTACCATCATCATCATTGCTATCATCATTATCATTATCATCATTGTCATTATCATCATTGTCATCATCATCATCTGCTGCTGATGATGACATCATCAGGCTTTAGCCTTCCTCTTTTATTTTGTTTCTCTAATCATGGTCAATGCTCAAACCAGCTATCATTTTTATTACAACAAACCAAAACTCATTCTAGCCCTGGCTATCAACCCCTGCTAAATTTTATAATTTTGCTGGCACCAGATTTGGAAAAAGTCTCATTTTTAGCTGGGGCCATGGCCCCAGTCACTAACTATTGACAACAGTTGTTTTTATGTAGAAGTACACTTATAAAACTACAAAGTATATAAAACCATAAAAATTATAATACCCTAAAGCAGGAGATATTTTAATTCAAAGTTAACTTTAAGCCTTTGCCAATAAAATTGAATCTTAAAAGACAACAGAACACGAGACAGGCTACATTGGATTTTATGTTATCAACAAGCAAGGTTATTTTGATGATACTAATCCTAATCTGACTTGAACTAAGTTGGACTCAAGGTAAGTTTATTGTATTAAAACTTGGTTTTAAATATAATTATATTAAAGGTAATTAACAATTTTGTTAAGTAATTGGCAATTAAACAAAATTATCTAAGATGACCTTCCTCTACCGACCTTCAGAATTAGGGTCAGCATTCGGCAATGCCAACCTGAAAGTGTTTGAGATTTGAACCTAAAGTGATTGAGAATTGCCGACCTCGTTTTTATTTTATATGGTAAGACCTGAGTATCAAATAATTTTTGCTGACCTCTGAAAGTTGGTAAATTATTGCCGACCTCATTTTTCCTTATCAGAAAAACAAAATTTACTATAATTCAAAACATTTTAACGTGGAAACAACAATTGCAGAGTGATAAAAACTTCGCTATGCTATAATTAAAAATATTTATGATAAAGTTGTTTGTTTTCAATTACAATAACTTTTATACAATCAAATAATATTAAAAGTAACCATAAAAATATAATTTCTAGTATTAATTTCCTACTAACTAAACAATTAGTAGTAATAATCATAATTTCATTCATTCAAACATAATTTCATTCATTCTCATGTTCAAATTTGCAGAATTATCAAACATAATTTGCAGAACTCACGCAAAAATTATATTGGTTAAAAATTAAAATTTTTGTTTAAAAAAACAAAATTACTATTCCGTGACTTTGTAAAACATCAATGTCTTGAAAAAACAACTCATCTTCTTCTAACTCATTTGGCATTTCATCTTCTTGGTCAGCTACAACTTGGTCCATTCTATTTAACAACTTTACTCTTAAAACATATTAGAGGGTGTTTAACATTTAAATGCATACAAATAAAGTTTTAAACAATAGAAAGAAAGAAAATTTATTCTAATTGATTTAATTTAAATTTTTAAACATTTCAGCATATAAAACTTCTACATGAAATAGAACATATCAACAGAAACATAAATCACTGCAATGACTATAAATTTAATAAATAAAAAACTGAACTAACCCTAATCTAAAAATTAGGTTAACAACAGGAAAAGCACTCTGTTGTAAAATATTGTAACCAATTACTCCATTATGTCATGTTTTTAAAAAAATGACATGGAAACCACACAAGTGTGACAGGTTAAACAGTTCCACAAAAATAAAAAAATATCTTGCATTGTGTAATTACAAATATTTTTGTTATAAATGGATATGCTTAAATCCCAGATTTAAAAAAATTCAAGAATGAACACTAATTTAGTGTTCATTCTTGACTAATTTAGTGTTCATTGTTTAGTGACTAAAAAAAAAACTTCAAAATTTAAATAAACTAAAAAAAGCTTTCATTAAACAAATAAAATCCCCAATTAGAACAATCAGTCAATTAATATACAATCAATGCAAAAATGAGTAAATAAATTATTTTGTTGATGTTGTTAAATTAATTGTTGGTGTTTGTTGAAAAAAAAACATGTTATTGTTGTTGAACAGCAACAACAACATGTTTTTATTTCATTTTAAATTTACTGTTTAAATGCATTTTCTAGATAACTGAATTACACAATACAAACTAGCCTATGTTTCAATAATATAACATGAATATATTACTGTGATAGTTAAGTAACGTAAAAAATTAAAACACATATCATTTAACATTTATAACATACATAACATTTAATCCTCAATTAATTTGTATCAACCTGCAGTAATGGCTGTCCTTTTTACACATAATCCTGTATCTAATTATGTTAAATCAGAAGTATTATTATGCAAATCAATATCCAAATACCATCTATGTTGTAGATATACAAATACGACTTCACTTAACAATAAGTTCGATTTGTTTTTGTTAGAAATAGCAGTGTATAATCCTGATATATTTATTGTAACTGAAACTTGGTTTAACTCATTCATAATAATGCACATCAGATATTGTATTGGAATTACATCTTAAAAAAACCAACAACATCAAAATCTTCCTATGGGAAATCAAAGTTTAACTACAAAGCCGGAAATTATCAAGAAATGAACAATTCATTCCATAGTATAAGATGGTCACATATTTTCTCTAATAAAAACATTGATGAATGCTACAAAATTTTTGTAAATAAATATCAAGAATTATCTGACTGTTATATACCTAAAAAAGTGCATAAACACATAGCTTTAAAACCATATATTGACAAACAAATTAAGACTGAAATCAGACATAAAACAACCTTATGGAACAAATTAATATCAAATAAATCCAAATCACCCATTTTGGTTCAGCAATACAAAATACAAAGTAAATTAGTTAAAAACATGGTGAGGTTAAAACGTATTGAATATGAAAAAAAAATCAGTGAAACATCAAAAAGAAATCCCAAGTTATTTTATAGTTATGTAAATTCTAACAAAAAAGTTAAAGGAGGAATAGCTTCAATGTCTAATGAATATAATAACATTGTAACAAATAGAGAATCTATAGCAAATATTTTAAACAATAGTTTCAATTCAGTTTGTGTTAACGAAGATAAACATAACATACCAAATATACAGCAGAAGACTGAAATTATTCTAGAAGTAGATATAAATAATAAAATAACTTGCCATACTATTGAAAAAAAATTTAAAAAATTAGATGTTTACAAGCTATCCGAGTAGATGGGATAAGCCCATATGTTTTAAATAAATGTCATAGTACTCTCTGTGAACCATTACATTTAATACATATAAAATCATTGACTGAGAAAAAATTACCTGAACTCTGGAAATTAGCAAATAGAACACCAATTTTTAAAAAAGGTAATACGAACATTGCATCTAATTACAGGCCAATCTCATTGACTTCTATCCCATGTAAAGTTTTGGAATTACTCATTAGAGATGAAATTATAGATTATCTAATAAATAACAGCTTATTAAATGAAAATCAAAGCTGCACAACAAAACTCTTGATATCATAACAGATGCACTAGAAAATGGCCACTCAGTTGATATGTTGTATCTAGACTTTGAAAAGGCTTTTGATAAAGTACCTCGCATTTGATCACTTAATCATATGGTATTGTGAGAAATTATCTGGGATGGATAGAGAACTTTTTAACAACAGAAAACAGAGAGTGGTCCTTGGCGACAGTCTCAGATTGGCTACCAGTTATTAGTGGTGTACCACAGGGGTCAGTTTTAGGACCACTGCTGTTTTTGATTTTTATTAATGATTTGCCAGATCAAGTCAAAAACCCTATTAAACTTTACGCTGATGATAGTAAAATAATAAATATTATAAAAAATCCAAATGATTCAATAAGCCTTCAAAATGATATAAATAATATAATGGCATGGTCATCTATTTGGCTCACAAAATTTAATTATGAAAAATGCAAAGTTATGCATATTGGGAAAAAAAAATCCAAATGCTACATTTATAATGACTGATATTAATTGCAATTACAATTATACATTGTGTAACACAAAAGCTGAACGTGATTTGGGTATAATGGTTCAATCCGATTTAAAATGGCACTCACAAGTTGATTCAGCAACCAGCAAAGTCAACAGAATGTTAGGTACATCTTGAGTTTGCGGTCCAGGCATGGTCTCCATTTTTAAAACAAGACATTGACAAGATTGAGAAAATCCAAAAAAGAGCAACCAAACTAGCACCTACAATTAGGAAATTATCATATGAGGCTAGGTTGAATATTATGCAATTAACGTCACTGGAAGAACGTAGACTACGTGGAGATCTGATTCAACAATATAAAATTCAGCATGGCCACGATAAAATAAATTGGGTAACAATTGTGGAAATGCATTGGAGGAGGGTCCATGTCTACGACAACACAAATTTAAAATGAGGAACCCTTTTAGCAGAAATACCTTCAGGTATCATTTTTTCCAAAATCGAGTTGTAAATGCGTGGAACAGCTTACCATCTGAAATAATAGAAGCTACTTTAATAAATAACTTCAAAAACAAACTAGAGAGAGCTGGATTTTGCAGAAACTATTTGTTAAAACACAAACAAAAGACAAAATGAGCTGTTACAGTGCAATATCTTATGTTATTGCACTTCGCAACTGTTTAAAACAGTTGTTACAGTTATACCTTATTATTATTATTACTATTATATATTCACTAATTTGTGATTTTTTGCTTATTTTTTGCCAAATTTACAAATTTACCTGAATACGCGGGAAAATGGTTTTCCGCACGTTTTGTTATTATTTTATAAATTGGCCTGTCAAACTGCCATACAAATATATCATGTCAGAGCCGATAACTAAGGGAGAGGGGCACCCCCCACTTTTTTGTAAAGAATGTTTTTTTGGTGTGTTTTTTTAATTCTAGATATATAGGACTTTTTAAAAAAATTGACGATTGTGCCCCTCCACTTTGAAACCCGTGTCGTAGGCACTATATTTATGTGGTATATTTTCTAATTTTTTATCATAAATTATTATAGGTAATTGTCTTTTTTGTTTTTAAAATTACTCAATGATGATGCATTTATAACTTCATCTAGGAAACTTGAATAGCTTTGCTTTTACAAGTTTTTTAAAAAAACTTATAAAACTTATATACTGGTTCCTCTTCTACTGCTTGAGCATTATATGCCCATGAAGGTTCCATTTTAATAAGTTTTTGTAGTTATTAGTCATATGTATATTTTTACTTTTTAATTTTCAATGCAATATACATATACCTTTTTTCAATTGATATAAAGTCTGAAAAAACTTATGTTATACGCGTATTATAAGTTATGTTATGAGCCTACAATTTAAAAACTTTTGCTGCTTAGGTATCTTTTGAAATGAAAAACTAAAACAAATATATTCACACAATTGTTTTTTTTTTTTGTTTTTTTTTTGTTAGTCAATATATCAACCTGATCCAACATTGTGAAGGGATTTAAAAGAAGCGCAAATCTACTGGATTTATAAAGAAATTCCTGATCAAAATGTTGCTGACAAAAATTTTAAAAAATCAACATTTTTGTTTCCAACATTTTGTGACAAATAAAATTTTTGTCTGCAACAAAAAATGATAAAAACTAATTTAAGGTACTGCTCTCTGAATTATTTTCTTTTAAGTTAAGAATGCTGAAACTTGAATGAGCTTATCTATTTAACTGAAAAATTCTACTAGAAAAAATATTTTGTTTCTTCTGCTTGCTTTTTCAAAATTCAGTTGACAACTTTAGAACTGAATTCGATGACTGGTCATATGGACATTGTTCTATACAGAGGCATGAACAATCAAAGACCACACTAATGCAGTCCGGCGCTATTTTGAAAAAGTCACAATAAAAAAAAATTGATGCTCATTTGAAACACCTGTTGAAAAAAGATGAATAGAGTTACTAGAGGTTCTTAAAAGAGATGTTGAATGTTTTAGTTTTTGTGCCGTTGTCACGCTATTAGAGATAAATCAGAAGAAATAAATGATACAGCAACAGAAACTTTTTCAGGGCCTTGAAGTTTCTTTCAAAATTCAACCTATTTTTTGCTAAACACTTAAAAAATCAAAGAAATCAGGGGAATTAATATATTTAAAACATTTCATTGACAACTCAAAGGTGACAGATTGTTTGTAATGGTTTTGTAAGTGATGCAGGAATGGACCGGAAAGTTACCATCAAATGCCTGAGCGGGACAAGGTGGTCAGCAAGAGTCATTTCTATTAAAATTTTACATAAAAAATTACAATCATTTCCTTGAGACCCTCAAATAGACACATAATAAAGTCAATACACTTTTTAAGAAAATAAAATCTTTGTAAGTTTCTTTTATGAAGAAGCTCACAATAA